GATGTGTAGGGTTAATCCCGCTTTGGGTTTTCATCTGTAGATCCGAGGCATTTCTGAAAAAAGCATAAAAAAATCCAACAAAACAAAAGTAGGCTAGTATAAGAAATCTAGACCTACAAAGAAGGCCAACAGATTATTATTATTACAGTGCAGGCTGTTTACTAACACAAGCGGACAAAGTGTTTATTTATTGCACCCTGTTCCAACCCGATGCGATAATTACTTTTGCACTGACTGAGTTGAATTCTTTGTTGCAGATGAACTGGGACACCAGTCAGGTAAAGTGGGTTGCTATGGCCCAGTTCTTTTGACCATGGGTATACACCAAGTTTGATTCTGCACTGATTTTATTTTAGAGTTTGTACCCTGTCCCACATGATAGTCTGTTTAATAAAATAGATAAATATAATGACTTGGATATAAAAACATACATTCAGATGCGACGCATTCGATGCAGAGAGGTCGAAACTGAATTTTAAAAAACCCCAACCAACTTTGAAAAAATGGTCAGGCTTTGGAACTTCAAAACTGAATCAGAAAGTTAAAAGAATGTAACAGAAAGCAAAAGTAAGCCTGTGTAGTGATGAGTACCGTAGTAGCCTACGTTAATTACGGTACGGTTAATTCTGGTCCACAAGAATATATTTCGGGCCTTGTCCCAGTTTACCTGCGTCCCACTTCTCCCCATTCTCCCCTACACATAGTTCACATTATGCGCTAAGTTTTTGTTTTGCTATACATAAGTACCGGTGATTATTTTTTGTGTTGATGCACTTTTTTGTTTTGTTTTTGTAAGCCCACTTAAATGTTATTTTTTTCGAGAAGTTGTTCTTTTTTTTCGTTACTGTTTTTTTTTATACTAGTCGGCAATGGGTACTCATTTTTTTCTCTGACTTATTTTGCTATTGTGTACTTTTGAATGTAACAAGCGGCAAAATGTAGTTTAAATGTGTATCGTTAATATTTGGCTCTATATTATGTTGCATTGTACATGTATTTGAAAAAGAAAAACAAAAAGTCAATTAATTTGCCATTAATAAAATGAAATAATACAATAATAATGTAAATAATGTTATGTATGTGATTTCGTGTACTGTTGGCTTGGTATTATATTTTATTGACTAGAGGTCTGGTGTGTG